TTTCACCTCATCCTTCTCAATTCTTTCGATTAACTAGTATTCCTACCCGTTCAATGCACGGGGTCGAACGAATATCTTGTCGCTTCTGAATTTTTTCGATGTAATATTTTTTTTCCGCAATAAAGGAAATATACTTCATACATGATTTATAATTACAAAGAAAAGAAAGGCAAAGTAAAAAGAATAATATTTAAGAAATTGAATCTACACCCAACAAATTTTGTTTTAATACCAAATTTTTTGAAAGACTTCAGGGTATACAACATTTTTTGTATGACTGCAAGGATTTACATTGTCATCTAAGACTAATATTTTTAATCCTGTCTTTGTCTTCACTCGCAAAACAGCAACATAAAGCTGACCATGAGTGGACACTGACTTGGTTAATAATAATCCAACAAATGACAATGTTTGACCTTGACTTTTGTTAATGGTCATAGCAAAACACAAGACTATTGGAAATTGTCTTCTCTGGAACTTCAAAGGTAGTCCTGGATCAGACGGTACCAAATTCATTCGGGGTATGTAAACTTTTTCACCCACTCGATTTCCCGAAACCAGAATAGCACCAATAACATTCTTTCGCATCTCGTCAACAATTAATCTTGTACCATTACACAATCCAGATGTTTGGTCAATGTTCCTCAGTAACATAATTGGTACCCCCTTTTTTTAAAACTATCTTGTGGTTTGGGATTCCCGAACATTTGATATCATTCAAAAACTCAACTGTTATCCAGTCGCCATCAATACCTGCATCTGAATCTGCTTGGCATGACGAATCAGAACTCAAGTACACCATTTCATCTCCGGGAATGAGGGATAAGACAAATTCATTTACCATCTCTACAAATTCGAGCATGGGTGCAAGTAGTGCCCTGTCCTCAAAAAAAGAATAACTTTTCATATTCTCCAATAAGTTCGGATAAGTAAAGTCCACTATACTTTTGAGGGGAGAACTGTTATCTAGAATCAAAAATTCTTGAGGAATTTCAACGTCAGCAGTTCCATCAATCACTTGTCTGAGCTTTCCATATCCAACTTTGATTATCCAATCTGAAAAATCTTGTGTGTCTCTATCTACGCAAGAGGATGTTGATGAATGCAATCTCATATTCTTCGTCAACTTAAAAACTCTACAATAAGACCACAAATTTGAAGAATTAATGGTTGCACCTACAATTTCCTCTCTTGAAGCTCTGGGTAAAACAGGAAGAATTTGTCTAAAATCACCTCCGAGCCCAACCGTTTTCCCTCCAAATGGTTCATTTATTGAGTTTGGATTAGCGAACTTCATTAGATCTCTCATCGTGCGATCTAATGCCTCAAAAGCAAATCTATTCATCATACATGCTTCATCTCATATGATTAAACTTGCCTGTTGAGTTAGTTATGCTTTTGGGCTTCCTTGTTTGATGGCACACGTTGAGCACTCTGTTAGAGCCAAAGGAATTGAAAATCTTGAGCGTGCTGTCCTTCCCCCAGGCAAAAGCAATGCTGCAATCCCACTGGATGCGACATTCAAGACAACTTTACCACTTGATCTTAGAGAAGCAGACAATGATTTCCAAAGAAATGTTTTTCCAGTTTCACCGCAACCATACACAAAAAAGAATCTTCCTTTTCTAGCTGTCACAACTTCCATTATTTCATCGTATATCATTCGCTGATCTTCTTTCATCGTAGATAAGTATCCGGTAAGATCAGATGACAACTTCTCTTTATCATAATTCAACTCCTCAACCAACAAATTGTTTTGAAATGTATTGAGTGGGCTGTCATCTGGAAATGGCATACAACTGAACTCCCTCAAAGACCGTCCATTTGAATTAAGCAACTTTGTTCCCTAACAAGTGCTGATTTTTAAGTTATCTCATTTTTAAACTTTAATGGCACAAATTGCATACTGCTTTCCGATTTCATTGTGGAACTAGTCACAAAGACAAGAAATTCTACCAACATTTGTACCTGTTTTGTTTCAACTTCGTACATGTTTTGTTTTTCCCAAAGCAATAAATTCCAACTTTGCACCTATTTTGTTTTTCAGCATCATATCAATATTTAAACATTGAAAATTTAACATGGATATGTTCTTAACTCACTTATAAATTAGACAAGATTCATTTGTCAATAAATCCAATCAAGCAATTCAACTAAGTATTATAAACTGAATTTCAAACATATATGCATATTCTAGCGTTAGATGTCCACGTACTCACCTTGATTTCTTTTCAGTTCAATCAGAGCAAACATCATCAATTCACATTGACAGAGTTCTCATAACCCCATGGCCCAACTTCTGGACGTCGTTGGAGGTCACCAGAGAAAGAGAGGAACTGCACCACTTCTGCCTCAACCTATCCTCGCTGCTGCCTGGACAGCCGCCGGAAAAGGAGGTAGTCGCAGGAGCTTCCTGGTTCGCTTGGGTCAGACCCGTCGCCGCTGGTTGCGGAATTGGAAGCGGAGGTCGCCGAGTCCGGTATGTAGAGTTGGACACGCTGGAAATCGAGAGGAGGAGGAAGAGCCCTCTGCCGCCGCTACTGCTGAGCCGCCAATCGCCGTCTTCGCTAGGTCAAGGTTGAGGGCCGTCATATTCAATAGTCTTTGCAACGCCGCCGGTGTCGTAGCGTGCTGCCCGTCGATGAAGAGAGGAGGAGATTGTGGTTGGAGGCTGTGGATTGTTAGATGAAGAAGATGAGATGGGGAGCGGCGCTACACCCCTTAAATATTTATATACGGCTAGGGTTTTGTAGTTTGTATTTTAAAATGAAGTATCGGAGTAACTAAACAATAAACATTTATCAATTTCACCCCATCCCTCTCAATTCTTTCGATTAACTAGTATTCCTACCCGTGCAATGGACGGGGTCAAACGAATATCTTGTCGCTTCTGAATTTTTTCAATGTAATATTTTTTTTCCGCAATAAAGGAAATATACTTCATACATGATTTATAATTACAAAGAAAAGAAAGGCAAAGTAAAAAGAATAATATTTAAGAAATTGAATCTACACCCAACAAATTTTGTTTTAATACCAAATTTTTTGAAAGATTTCAGGGTATACAACATTTTTTGTATGACTGCAAGGATTTCCATTGTCATCTAAGTCTAATATTTTTAATCCTGTCTTTGTCTTCACTCGCGAAACAGCAACATAAAGCTGACCATGAGTGGACACTGACTTGGTTAAAAATAATCCAACAAATGACAATGTTTGACCTTGACTTTTGTTAATGGTCATAGCAAAACACAAGACTATTGGAAATTGTCTTCTCTGGAACTTCAAAGGTAGTCCTGGATCAGACGGTACCAAATTCATTCGGGGTATGTAAACTTTTTCACCCACTCGATTTCCCGAAACCACAATAGCACCAATAGCATTCTTTCGCATCTCGTCAACAATTAATCTTGTACCATTACACAATCCAGATGTTTGGTCAATGTTCCTCAGTAACATAATTAGTACCCCTTTTTTTAAAACTATCTTGTGGTTTGGGATTCCCGAACATTTGATATCATTCAAAAACTCAACTGTTATCCAGTCGCCATCAATACCTACATCTGAATCTGCTTGACATGACGAATCAGAACTCAAGTACACCATTTCATCTCCGGGAATGAGAGATAAGACAAATTCATTTAGCATCTCTACAAATTCGAGTGTGGGTGCAAGTAGTGCCCTGTCCTCAAAAAAAGAATAACTTTTCATATTTCTCCAATAAGTTCGAATAAGTAAAGTCCACTATACTTTTGAGGGGAGAACTGTTATCTAGAATCAAAAATTCTTGAGGAATTTCAACGTCAGCAGTTCCATCAATCACTTGTCTGAGCTTTCCATATCCAACTTTGATTATCCAATCTGAAAAATCTTGTGTGTCTCTATCTACGCAAGAGGATGTTGATGAATGCAATCTCATATTCTTCGTCAACTTAGAAACTCTACAATAAGACCACAAATTTGAAGAATTAATGGTTGCACCTACAATTTCCTCTCTTGAAGCTCTGGGTAAAACAGGAAGAATTTGTCTAAAATCACCTCCGAGCCCAACCGTTTTCCCTCCAAATGGTTCATTTATTGAGTTTGGATTAGCGAACTTCATTAGATCTCTCATCGTGCGATCTAATGCCTCAAAAGCAAATCTATTCATCATACATGCTTCATCTCATATGATTAAACTTGCCTGTTGAGTTAGTTATGCTTTTGGGCTTCCTTGTTTGATGGCACACGTTGAGCACTCTGTTAGAGCCAAAGGAATTGAAAATCTTGAGTGTGCTGTCCTTCCCCCAGGCAAAAGCAATGCTGCAATCCCACTGGATGCGACATTCAAGACAACTTTACCACTTGATCTTAGAGAAGCAGACAATGATTTCCAAAGAAATGTTTTTCTAGTTCCACCGCAACCATACACAAAAAAGAATCCTCCTTTTCTAGCTGTCACAACTTCCATTATTTCATCGTATATCTTCCGCTGATCTTCATTCATCGTAGATAAGTATCCCGTAAGATCAGATGACAACTTTTCTTTATCATAATTCAACTCCTCAACCAACAAATTGTTTTGAAATGTATTGAGTGGGATGTCATCTGGAAATGGCATACAACTGAACTCCCTCAAAGACCGTCCATTTGAATTAAGCAACTTTGTTCCCGAACAAGTGCTGATTTTTAATTTATCTCATTTTTAAACTTTAATGGCACAAATTGCATACTGCTTTCCGATTTCATCGTGGAACTAGTCAGAAAGACAAGAAATTCTACCAACATTTGTACCTGTTTTGTTTCAACTTCGTACATGTTTTGTTTTTCCCAAAGCAATAAATTCCAACTTTGCACCTATTTTGTTTTTCAGCATCATATCAATATTTAAACATTGAAAATTTAACATGGATATGTTCTTAACTCACTTATAAATTAGACAAGATTCATTTGTCAATAAATCCAATCAAGCAATTCAACTAAGTTTTATAAACAGAATTTGAAACATATATGCATATTCTAGTGTTAAATGTCCACGTACTCACCTTGATTTCTTTTCAGTTCAATCAGAGCAAACATCATCAATTCACATTGACAGAGTTCTCATACCCCCATGGCCCAACTCCTGGACGTCGTTGGAGGTCACCAGAGAAAGAGAGGAACTGCACCACTTCTGCCTGAACCTATCCTTGCTGCTGCCTGGACCAGCCGCCCGAACAGAGGTAGTTGCAGGGGCTTCCTGGTTCGCTTGGGTCAGACGCGTCGCCGCTGGTTGCAGAATTGGAAGCGGAGGTCGCCGAGACCGGTATGTAGAGCTGGACCCGCTGGAAATCGAGAGGAGGAGGAAGAGCCCTCTGCCGCCGCTACTGCTGAGCCGCCAATCGCCGTCTTCGCTGGGTCGAGGTTGAGGGCCGTCATATTCAATAGTCTTTGCAACGCCGCCGATGTCGTAGCGTGCTGCCCGTCGATGAAGAGAGGAGGAGATTGTGGTTGGAGGCTGTGGATTGTTAGATGAAGAAGATGAGATGGGGAGCGGCGCTACACGCCTTAAATATTTATATACCGCTAGGGTTTTGTAGTTTGTATTTTAAAATGAAGTATCGGAGTAACTAAACAATAAACATTTATCAATTTCACCTCATCCCTCTCAATTCTTTCGATTAATTAATACTGATCAGCTTTTTAATTTAAATCTTAACATTTACATCAGATAAAATTATACATTGGAAATATTAGAATCTCCAAAATATCTTTTAGTACTTTTAAAAAATAGAGTGTCGTAAATAAATAATTCTTATTCATTTACTAATCATACACACACACACACACACACACATATATATATATATATATTTGGAGAAACTTTATTCATTTATTTGATGCGGAAGTAAGTAGAGGTTACATCACAGAGAAGAGCTCCTTTGACCTTTTTAGGGAGTTGCTCGAAATGAGAGTAAAAAGCACTAAAATTACTGTTTAAAGAAAATTTTGCTAGATTGTGTGCCGCTGAATTTGCTTCCCGGTATATGTGGTTTATTTTTCCTCCAGAATTTTGAATTGCATCTTTGATTTCTTTGTAGTATGCGTTGGGTGCCTCTTGAATTTTCTTCACCCCATTCTTTGAGTCCATGAAAAGGTTGATCGGTTGATTTAGGAAGTAAGCACGTTTGACGCCTAGAGCTGCTGCCTTAATCTCTCCTGCTTCAGGTTCATTTTCTCCCTCCCAATTCTGTGTCCATGCCGCTAGAAACTTTCCAGTTTTTAGCCTGATGATTGCAGCCGCTGCCATTCGATTCTGTGAGATTGCAATATCAGTTGTGACGCAAAGGCCTTGCGCTGGAAAATTCCATTTGAAAGTTTGGATTGCGCCCATTTTGATGGTTGGAATTGAGAGCTGCAGGTATCTTTGCCTTCCTTTCCCGTTGATTGCACTGTATTCATATATCTGCCGAGTAATTTGGTGAATGATTTGGGCAGGTGTCTGTGTTTCCTCATTGTAGATGCGAAGGTTTCTTTCTTTCCAGATGGCGTGGGTTATGAAACCAGGTAACACAACTTTAAGGTGGTAATCTTTTGCATTTTTGTTAATTTGGTTCCACCAATTTAGTAGAAAGCTGCGTATGCCGTGGCTTACACTTCGGTGGATTCCAAATAGTTCCTCAAAATGATTCCAAATCTCCTTGCTGAAGTTGCATTCGTGAAGTGAATGCCAAGTTGAGTCTTCACTAGACCTGCACAAAAAACAGATAGATGGAAGGTTAAATTTCATCATTGTTAGTTTTTGGGGGTACGGTAGAAGGCTGTGGTAAAGTTTCCAAAGGAAAGTTGAGATCTTGGGTAGTTGAGAGGGGTTCCATATATAGGACATTGCTGGTATAGGAGGGTTATGGGGTCTCAAGTTTTTGGTGGCAAGTTTGATACTAAAATCCATCTCCCCTGTTTTCCATTTGACTCTGTTTTCATTTGTTATCTCCAGCGTGAGTGGGGCCTTATCATTGATGACACAGATTCTTCTCCAAGTGGGGGAGTCAATGATTTTAGGGGGAGTGTTTAGACCCCTGGGGTATCTGTGTCTCATGTATGTAGCCCATAAGGATTCATTTTGTGTGTATCTCCACCAAATCTTGAGTCCATAAGCTTCTTGCAAAGTGGTTAGAGATGTGATTCCTAGGCCTCCTTCCTCCTTAGGGTAGCAAACCTTTTCCCATTCCATCTAATGATGTTTGTGATCATTTTGGGTACTTCCCCCCATAGGAAGTTGGACATCTTCATGTGTAGGGTATTAATGATGCTCTTAGGGAGTTGTGTCGAGCCCAGGGTGTGTATGGGAATGGAGCTAAGTACATGTTTGATAAGAATCACTCTTCCACTCTGGTTGAGTAGGTTTTTATCCCAGCCACTTAGCTTGTGATCAAAGTGTTGAAGGAGGGAGGTACAGTAGTTCTTTCTGTTGATCCCCCTAT